TTTTCTCATTAATTCGTTCAGGTTGACTTTCTCGTTCTTCATGCTAATGATTTCTCTTTCTTACTTGATGGGGTTAATTTATTCAGTTTTGAAGATTCTGGTTTACTAGTTCTAGGGTATTATAGGTTTAATGCTTTTCCTAGGTTCTTCTTTGAATGCTTCTCTGGCTTAGAGAACCATTTCCCCTACTATTTCTTAAATGTTGTCTAGTTTTGTACTTTCTCTCTCGATGAATAGGATTTACTATCCTATAGGCTCGATCACCTGTTACTTCTCAATGAATCCAGTTTTTGTGAGTTTGAACTAGTCTACCTATCTAGGTATAATGAGCGGGATTTTCCTTTTTCTTCTATTTTCTATGCTGAATTTGGCGCTATGTTGTTCTATTTATCTTTATTGCTTCTTGCTAGCTCTCTGCTGTTATCTATGTTGATTAAATTCTTCAGTTTACTGTAGTCTTACAAGTTACCTTGTTTTGGGATCGTCTTGGGGAATAATTTAGGATTGTTCTAACACATCTTCCATAAATGGTTCTTACCTTTCGTAAGTAAATACATCCTGACCTTGCACTATTACGGCGCTTCTTAGGTTAGAATAGTATTACTCGTCGATTTCTTCTTATATTTTTTAAACATTAAGTGCTTCTTAGATAGTCTCCTTTCTTATTTGTAATTTTTCGGATTAGGAACATTATTATATGTTGTCTGGTATATTAAAGATGATTTTTCTTACTCTAGCTTGAAGTTCTTGACTTTCTGATTATTATCCTAGTTCTATCATATCTTTTAGGAATGGATCACTCTATGCAGCTATTTCTACCTCACTAGGCTCCTTCTCAACCTAAGGAACCCTAGTGAGTCTAATTTTGGTATTACCTCTAGAATTTTCTTTCTCTTGCTTCCACGTTCTTCTAGCTATAATCATTTTCCATGGGTTATGCTCTAGATTCTGGTACAGTTTCGAGATTCTAATGGCTATTTATATCGCATGAGCTAAATGTTTGATTTTTCCTGGATTGATGGAGTATTTTCTCATTAATCCATAAGTTAAGGCTAGTTCTGCTATACTTTCCATATGTTATGCTACACATTCAATGTATTCTTATTCTTCTTCAATGAATTCTTAGTTTTTCTTTTAAATTCTTTCTTATTGATAGCCTGTTTATTCTAGCATTTCAGCGTATTTTCTTATTCTCCATTTGAAATTAGTTATAAGATCTTTGGAACAGTTGTATAGGTGTTCAATACTAGCTCTTGCGTTTTTAACGCCTCTTATTTTCCAGCATATTTAACATTCATACATTCCTGATTACTTATCATCATCATCATTGTTATAGAATCCTCCGGCATTATTTAGACCTTACCATATCATAGGCATAATTCTATAGTATTCTTTCTTATGTTTAGGTTATAGTTGATTATCTGCATTCCATTATATATTCTTTACTGCTAAACTTTTCTCTTAAACTGATTATAACATGAGTGAATACTATATTTTAGTGCCTTGGTTTGCTATTCTATTCCAGTCTATAGTTTTCACTGTCTCAATTTTGAAAAATAGTTAGGGCATTTGCTTATTGAAAGTTTCATCTTCTTACATAAGATGTTCCTTTTTCAAGAATCTGACCTTATTCTTGATAAAATCTTTTGTTCCTTTTCTTTGTAGTAATTCTTCATATTACCTTACAAGATTATGGTATACTATTTGCTGGTAAGTTATAATTTCACTAATATCTTTCTAGGATTATCTGAAGCCAATCTTTTTAACATATATGTAGGCTATATTAAGCTTATCTTCAAGGATTAAGTTTTCTATCATTTCAATTTTTTCAAGATCATCCTTTTTATTATATTCTTCATATATTTCTCTAGTTAGCCATTATTTTAGA